GCGGCCCGGCCACCCCGCGCGGCGCTGCTTGCTGCGCCTGCGCGCAGTGCGGCTCGCCGGGGTAGCGCCCCTGGCGGCCGGGAGGGCGTCGGCTGTGGGCGGTGCCGCGGGCTGGGCTCGCCCGTGGAGAGCAGGATCGAGACCAGGCTCTGACTCTCGCCGCTGTCAGGAGCCCAGTGTTTTGGGCCATAGGTATCAGACCAGCTGTTAGCAGCTTAAAGGAGATAAATGCAAAAGACTGAATACGATCGACAGTGGGTATCTGAGCCAGGAATGTGGGACAAGGACCAGGGGCCAGATGTCAACTTGGACTTTGTACACAGGACATAGTGCCAGAGGCCTGCCCGGAAGTGGAGATGGAGTCCAGGCTCATGGGAGGCAAGCGCCCACGTGGACTTCCTGGCTGGGCCCCCCTCGCACTGGACAGTGGACTCTGGCCCGGAACTGGGTGCTGCCCTTGGCCACTCAGTCCTGTCGTGCCCCTGCTACCATGCTGTCACCTGGGACCACGCTCCTCCTGACTGTGCTCCTGGCAGCCAGCTCCCAGGGCCAGAGGGCTCGGAGGCCCCCGATGCCCCCGTCCCCCATCAGCACCATCCAGCCCAAGGCCAATTTTGATGCTCGCCAGGTAGAAACTGGGGGGCCAGGGAAGGGGCCTGTCCTGCTTCGCGGCACGGGCTGCCCCTCCCTTCAGCGTCCTGGAGCCTTCATGGCTGCCCCAGTTTGCAGGGACGTGGTTCCTCGTGGCCGTGGGCTCTGCCTGCCGCTTTCTACAGGAGCAAGCCCACCGTGCAGAGGCCACCGCACTGCACGTGACTCCCCAGGGTGAGACCATGGCCGTCAGCAACTTCCGCAAGCTGTGAGTCCTGGGCAGGGCCTCAGCCCAGCCCCCCCCTCACCCAGGTCCCCTGACCCCGCCCTGCATCCCACTGGCCCGACCCAGATCGGGGTCGCCTTCCTGCTGTGCCTCCCTCTGTCCCTCTAGGGACGGGATCTGCTGGCAGGTGCGCCAGCTCTACGCAGACACCGGGGTCCCTGGTCGCTTCCTGCTCCAAGGTGAGGTGAGGGCTCAGGGTGTGCAGCTGGGGCTGGCCAAGGGTGCTGACGCTGCCTGGCTCTCTGCCCAGCCCGGGGTGCCCGTGGGGCAGTGCACGTGGTTGTCGCTGAGACCGACTACCGGGACTTCGCCATCGTGTTCCTGGAGCGGGCTCGGCAGCTGTCAGTGAAGCTGTATGGTGCGTGGTGGCCAGCCCTGCATCAACGCGGAGCCCCCACCCACTGGCCTGACCACCCTGCTGAGTGGCGGGGGGGGG